GCCCACGTTGCTCTGGGCGCCCCTCCCTGCGTGAGTCCTTTAAGAGCCCCCCCTCAAACCCCCTGTCCCCAAATCTCTCAATGGGGGACGGTGGGAATAGCTGCGGGACGCTCCGCCCCCTCATTAGCATAGCGGCGGGGCGAGGGGAATTCAGAATGTTCTGTTCGCCTGGGGGGCGTGGCAAGACGCGGGGGGCGTGGTGCGGCGGCTTTAGAAGGCGCTATTAGCATAAGGGGCGTGGCGCGGCGGCTTTTAGGGGGCGTGGCGAGCTGCCGGGGGGCGGAGCTCCGAGTCTATATAAGGCGATGAGGCGGTGGCAGCGGGGAGTCGCGGGTTCGAGTCCCGGCGCGGGCGGAGCGGAGCGATACCGGGAGCGACACCGGGGGAGTAGCGGGGGCCGGGGGGGGGGATCGCGGCGGAGCCCCCCACATGGCTCGGGACAAGGAAAAGCGAAGCTGCGGGCAGAGGTTGGCCGAGTGGCGGGCCTTCGTGTGGGCCCCGCGGAGCCGCCAGTTCCTGGGCAGAACAGGCACCAGTTGGGGTAAGTCTGGGGGCAAAGGGGGGGGTTGCTGGGAACATCCCCCCCACCCCCAGTTTGGGGGGGTAAAATGGGGGGAAGCATCCCTGGGGTGCGGTGGGAGGTTGCAGAGTAGTCCCTCTATAGGGGTGCACTTGGGGGGACCCCGCAATAGCATGTAACTGAGGGTGCCCCCCATATGGGTGCAACTGGGGGGGTATTGGGACACCCCCCCCCCCCATAGAGGTGCAAAGGGAAGGGGTTGCATGGGGACGCCCTGTATGGGTTCAGTGGAGATGGGGGGGTTGCATAGGGGACCCCCCCATATGGGTGCAACAGGAGGGTGAGTTGCATAGGGACCCCCGCATACAGATGCAATTGGGGGGGGGCTTACATAGGGGCCCCCAATATGGATGCGTTATGATGGGGTTGCATAGGGACCCCCCCCCAGATGCAATTGGGGGGGGTCCATAAGGACGCCCCGTTTGGGTGCAGTGTGGGGGGGGGTTGCATAGCTAACCCCCAGTACGGGTGCAGCGGGAGGGGACTATATATAGTCCACTATATATACATGTGGCCCCCCGGGGTGCAACAGGAGGGAGTTGTATAGGGACCCCCCCATATGAGTGCAATGGGAGGGGGTTATATTAGGCCCCCACATATGGGTGCAATGCGGGGGGATTACATAGGGACCCCCCCATATGGATGCAATTGGGGGGGGCTGCCTAGAGACAACCTCCCCAAGAAAGGACATTTGCTTCGACCCCCCCGTATGTGTGCAACTTGTGGGGGGGTGTTGCATAGGGACCCCCCCTCATTGGGTTGCAATTGGGGGATCCCCACTTTTAAGGCTGGTTTTTTGGGGGGGAGAGATATTTACACAAGGACCCCATATGGGTGCAATGAAAGGGGGCTGCATAGAGAGCCCCCCCTTTTGGGGGTGCAAGGGGAGATGGGCCTACAGGCCCCCCCAAACGAGGCTGTAATTTGGGGGGGGCAGATTGGGGTCCCAATGGGGGCCGTTTGGGGGGGGCAGGGGGTGGGTTGTGCCCCCCCCCATCTGTCGCGCTGTGGCTAAAAAAGTGGGGCATTGG